ACTACTACTACTACTAATACTACTACTACTAAGTAACTACTACTACTACTACTACTACTACTACTACTGCTGCTACTACTACTACTACTACTGCTACTACTACTACTACTACTACTATTAACTACTACTACTACTACAACCAACTACACTCAGATAATCAATAGAAGCCAAACCCTACACCGCCCCCGGTCCCCCGTCCAAATTTCAAGCAACTAGGTGGTTTTTTTTCTTTGGTGTGGGGGGTGGCGTGGCTCTGCCCGTCCCATAAACGGGATCATGGCAGTCCTTGTCGTGCTGATCGTCGGCATCCCAAGCGCTTCAGGGCTTCAGGAGGCAAATAGCAACGTTTGCTTTTCCAAAATTTTTCAAACTTTTTAAACACTTCCTGAAACCTAAGCCTTCCCTCGCCACAGGTGTGGTGCAGCTCCGTGGCAGCCGGCGGCAGGCAGAGGAAGGCTCTGCGATGCACATGGTTTTTAAAGTAAATAATAGATTAATTTTTTTAAAATAATAGGTTTGAAAATTAAGGATTTTGGGGGCTTAGACCGAGGTGGTAGGCAGGGGGGCTGGGGGCGGCCTGGGGTTTTGGCTTCAAGAATAAGTTATTAAGCTTCGTAAGAATCAATTGTTATAATAATAATTTAATAAATAATATGTATATATTATTGCATAAACTAAACTTGTAAGACTACTACTACTGCTGGTCCTCGTTGTCAGAAGTTGTGCATGGGGCACAAAGCATCCCAGGAAGCGCAGCACCAAAGGTGTGGCTGCTTCATGGGATGCGTTGGGCCATATGTCTGAGCCATTGTAAGACCGCAACTTACTGAAGTTGCCAACTTTTCCGCAGCAAGCACCGGATTCAGTCAGATGACCCATAAACCTTAGAGATCGAAAGCAAATTTAGGAGCATTTATTAATGACACTAGCAGTAGCAATTAATAAAGTAGTAGTATAGTCGCACAGGGTAGGTAAGTGGGTCAGTAGTAGTAGTAGTAGTAGTAGTAGTAGTAGTAGTAGTAGTAGTAGTAGTAGTAGTCTAGTAGTAGTCAGTAGTAGTAGTAGTAGTAGTAGCAGTAGTAGTAGTAGTACTAGTAGTAGTAGTAGTCGTCTTGGTCTTTAGTAAGTAGTCGTAGCAGTAGTAGTATTAGGTAGTAGTAGTAGCCACCGGCGGCTAGTCTGCATGAGGCGAGCTGGCTGCACACATGTGCGTCTGCGCATTGATAGAACAGAATCCAAAAACTTTCAGCCGATCATGCGGAAGCTCATCGCCTCAGTTGGCCACAGAGACCTCACATGCTTTATCACTGCAGGCAATGGCGGAGATGCACAGGCGTGCGCGCGTGACGAAAGAAGACATGGTTTCAATGACCCGCGTTGTTTTCAAAGTCTTCTGTATTCATATTACTGATCGCAGGTTTAGCATGTCGCCCCCCCCACCAGTCCATACTCATCATTCGTCCAAACACTCCTCAGAAGCACTCTCCTGGAGACTCCAGACTACAGCCCAAAACCGACGTCCATATTCAGGATCCAAAAGCCCCGACCCCCCTCTGACCCAAAGCTAGCTTCGATCCGAAACAGGACTGATCTCGACCAAACAAATAGCCAGCAGTGTGCAGGGTTTGGGTTAGGGCTTAGGGTTTCGGGTTTTGGGTTGCGTAGTGTTACGCAAGTCAAACTATTGCTGCTGTTATTTAGTTATTCTTGTTGGTAAGACGATGTTCGTCTCCGGCATTATACAGTAGTATTAGTAGTAGTAGTAGTAGTAGTAGTAGTAGTAGTAGTAGTAGTAGTAGTAGTAGTAGTAGTAGTAGTAGTAGTAGTAGTAGTAGTAGTAGTAGTAGTAGTAGTAGTAGTAGTAGTAGTAGTAGTAGTAGTAGTAGTAGTAGTAGTAGTAGTAGTAGTAGTAGTAGTAGTAGTAGTAGTAGTAGTAGTAGTAGTAGTAGTAGTAGGGTAGTGGTAGTGGTACTGGTAGCGGTAGCGGTAGCGGTAGTAGTCGTCGTAGCAGCAACTTGGTAGTAGTTGTAATACTTAGGAGTAGGCAGTAGTAGTAGTAGTAGCAGTAGTAGTAGTAGTAGCAGTAGTAGTAGCAGTAGTAGTCTTAGTAGCAATCGTAGTAGTAAGAAGTGGTGATGGTAGTAGTACCTAAGTAGGCACTAGTGGTAGTAGTAGCAAGAGTAGAAGCATATCTAGATCACGGAACCAGCCAGTGTGTGGTAAGACTGTGGGTGCAGTTGTAAACTAGTAAGTTTAAGAGTAGGCTTTGGGGAACCAGAAGTCGTCTGACTGTTTTGGGTCCTTATTGGACACTGCGGATTCCGTCAGACCGTGCCGCCGCGAAGACTCCGTCAGATGGCTACAGCTGTACTGTGATTAATTCTAGTCAGTATCGTGTAAGTTCATTGGTTCTGTTATTTTAATTCAGGAGTCTGTCGCGTTTGACAACGGCTGTGAGCCACCGTTCCGAAGTTGAGGCTGTTGTCAAGTCAGACCACCAGCCGACATGATGCAGGTCTACAGTCTACAGCAAGTGCGCCCTGCAGTTTGCAGTTCAGCAGCAGGTCATTTTCATAAAACTAATTGGTAAGACTATTGGGGAGCTGCTTTGTGGCATGTGGTCTGGAGAATCTGTCCACTGAGCTCGACCGAACTTGGTCAGAACCCATCTGTAATACAATTTAATAAAGACTAGCTGAGGCTGTGTTGATACTACGTCAGACCATGCAGGTGAGCTGCTTAGTGGAGTGCTGCGCATGCGCCGCGGGCAGTTCTCGGCCTATCTAACGTCCGGGCTGTCTCCTGGTGAAATTTAATTCTGTAGTAGGACGACAACCCCGGCGGTCCAGCCTCGGTGAATCACCGAGGCTGGACCGCCGGGGTTGTTTGTGCGCTGTAGTAGGACGACAACCCCGGCGGTCCAGCCTCGGTGAATCACCGAGGCTGGACCGCCGGGGGTTGTTTGTGCGCTGTAGTAGGACGACAACCCCGGCGTTCCAGCCTCGGTGAATCACCAAGGCTGGAACGCCGGGGTTGTTTGTGCGCTGTAGTAGGACGACAACCCCGGCGGTCCAGCCTCGGTGAATCACCGAGGCTGGACCGCCGGGGTTGTTTGTGCACTGAGCTCCTGAATCCAGGCGACGTCGTGCAACTAAAGCTTCTCCCTCGGTAATAATATCTTCAGAAGCCTCCATCAGATGACCTCCGAATCGCAAATGCCGACCTGGATTCGGCCCAGGAGTTTCCATGACCTCCTGTGGAGCTCCGGCTGGTCATCACTCAGTAATGACCAGCTGGAGCTCCAAAAGAGGTGGGGCCTTGTTGTCCACGTGTCACCATGTTAGACAAGGCCACGCGGACGGCCAGGTGGTCATGACGGAGTTAAGGCCATCCGCATGGTTGTCAATGCTTGGTTCAAGTAATTCTGTCAAGGTGCCGAAAGTGATTTACAAGAGCAAGAGGTGCCGTTCAGAGGATGGCCCCTCTTGCTCTTGTGAATCACTTGCCCAAAGGGAGGTGATTCAAGCATGCAGGGGGTGCGCTTCAGAAGTCTGAGGCGCACTCGTTGCATGCTTGAATCGCGGATCGGAGCCTGAAGGACGACGAGTATCGTCCTCTTTCAGGTTCCGATCCGTGCCTCTTGCAGATTTAAGTGCAGCCTGGGTCTCAACTCGTATTATGTTTCGTTATGAAATGAATCGCTGCTAAGATCGTTTGTTACGGCAGTAGCCCACATCGTCAGACGAGTCAGACACAGGCTGCACATTGCACAATCCGTTGAAGAATCGCAAGACTTTGTCAGACGACCTCGGGCTGCCCGGTGCAGACTTAAGCATTTGGGTCCCGTGTAGACCAGTGACAGAACTGTACCGTGGCCCCAGCCCCAGGTCAGAGTGCACTGCAAACGTATTGATTCGTGTCAGACCTCATGCTCGAAAAAGGCATGTTACAAATCGCTTGCATTCCGTTTTATCGACGTCTGGAATCAAATGCTGAAATCAACAAGCCCATATCCTCCTGTAACTACAAAATAGGAAAAAAGATAAAAAGCTCTTTCTTTTTTTCCCCTGGCCACTCGAGATTCAAGTTAAACTTCAAGAGGACAGAGAACAGATGCAGCCAAAACCGACCCATAAGAAACCATCCACGAGACCCTGCAACGCCTCTAACCTAAAACCGGGGATGCATTCAGCTGCTTTCGCTCAAATCATACTTTCGAGACGTCCTATCTAGGAGGAAGACAGCCGTCGACTTTACCGCACGAAGCCTTGGAAACCCCAAACCCTAAGACCTTACAAACCTGACGCAAAATCCGAACCTTAAACTCCAAACAAAACCCTAGAGCAACCCTGCAACGCGGCCTCGTCCCTGCAAAGTAGGAGGGGACAAAAACCCTACGGCCCCGCCCTGCCCTCACCAGAACAGGTTCATCTGGAAAGTGGGGCTGACGAGATCTCCGTGCACCAGGCCTACTCCAATTGGTTTAAGATCCCTTTTTGTAGATTCCTTATGGATCCCTTATAATAGATTCCTTGTAGATCCCTAGCTCCCTATGGATCCCTTGTAGATCCCTTTGAGATCCACTATTTCCAAGAGGCCTGCGACCGGCCAGCTCCCCTGGATTCCTTCCGCCTCCGGGCGCTGACGCTTCGGATCGCTTTGGGAAAAGGGGGGAAAAGAGTGGGTTTCAGCACTCACAACTAGACAAGCAGGCGAGGATCCGAGTACACATCTAAAGAGTGGGTTTAGGGTTTAGGATTTCGGGGGGTTAGGGCCGGTTGGTAGGGTTTCAGGGTTGGGGGCTTGTTTTGGATTTCGGACGGACTTGGAGTCTTGAACCCAGCAGACGTTAGGAGGGATTCGATCCAGGCGCTTGCTTTCAGGTGTCGGGAAGAATTCAGTAAGGCGCCTTGCTCGATTGTGGGGTCTGGTGCTCTTTTTGTAGGGCGGTTTCGTGTCTTGCTTCAGAGAAAAGGAGCTTCCCTTAAAGCTGAAATCCTATGCCGAGGAAGGACATTGCTCCGGGCGATCTGCTTGTTGTGGATGATGCATTTGACCATCGAGGTCCCCCGATGCCTCTGGCAGGGGGTTGGCCGAAGAACCTGGGCAAAAGATTTAGTTAGCAACATTGTTCCTTGGGTACCTTTTTGTTGTAGATATACTATAATAAATGGGCACACCATCCCATCTGATTATCCAGGCCTCTGCGTCATCATTTCTTGCAAGTTCGTGGTTTTGGGTTTAGGTGAGTTCCCATCAGAAAGGTTTGCAAGATTTCGGGATCCCAGGGCCTTACAAACGAGGACGCTTGTCAGTAAAGAACCACGGGGGGTGATCCCATAGCGCGAAAGCGTGGATCGGTTACCTTCGTAATTTCAATCATCATTGAAACGACAAAACTCCCACTCCGGAGCTCGAAACTTAAACAAAAACCTGCCATTCTGAACCCACTTGCCGATATATTCGGGGTTTGTAGGTTCGGGAGATCCCCTCGTGAGAGCAGATTTCTTCGTAAACGAACCTTGCAGAACACAGGAACCAAGCTTTTGCAGTTTTTTTATGCCAGCGTCGAAGAACGGATCCCAAGGCCAAGCCCTCGATCCCAACACAAACCCCGAACACCAATGCTCAGCTTCAGGCCATACTAGTGACCTTACTAAAGACTTATGATCCTCCATGTGTTGCACCGCAAACGCTAAACTCCTAAACCCTACAAAAAAAGCCCCAAACCCAAAACCGTAAGCACCCCGAAACCCGACCCCTCTAGACCCCCCCGGAAAGCCGCGGGGCCGAAGGTCCTGGTTGGCCGAGTCCCTGGCCCAGTCGCGGCTCGCAGCAGCACGCGCCGGCGACGCTGGCGCCCAGTTCCTTCGTGCCAAACCCTAAAAAGGGAGGGAGCCCTATTACTGAGCTGGTGAATGACTTGACTGTTGTTCTTGACAAATTCTAGGTTCTTCTTTGTTTCCATTCATGTTTCACGTGCACCAATGAGTGCTTCATGCAAACGACCGACTGATGTCCGTTAATAATTGGTACCTTTAAAGGGAGCCCTGCAAAAAGAACCCCAAAGAACGCTTATGTAAAGGAAGCCTTATAGGAGCCAAAATGGAGCTGAGATCTTGCAAATCTGCAGAGCCAGGTTTCAGCATGCGGAGACCCTCCGGCTCAGCGGCGCCTTGCCCACCATTGCTGTAAATGGGAGTGGGGTGGGGGGGGGGACAAAAGAGATCCTGAATTTAGAGGCGGATTTTAGCGGTCCTTAGCAGAAGGATCCTTCTGTTGAGGGTTTAGGGTTTTAAGGAGGATTCATGTTCCGTCACCTCCTGAAAACATGTTTTTGTAGGTCAACTTCGCCTGTAGGGACCTCGTGGATGCTAGAAAAAGTGCTTGTTTATGATGGGTGTTGAGATTCAGGGTGTCAGACTCAGGGCGAGAAGCTCTCAATTTTAACCACACCCTAAACCTGAACTAGAAATCTTTCTAACCCGTCATACGAAACCTTGAGCCTAATCGCCTACCGCTCCCGCCGCTCCAGCTTCAATCCCGAGGCAGCGAGCCCTCCGGAGAGGCTTTGCAGTGGTACAGCTGGGCTCTCAGTACTACGTGGGGTTAAAAAACTAGGATTGGGAGTTTCGGGGGTATGTTGCACAGTTCTGACATGAAGGAATCCCGCAAACCTGAAGGATGGAACAGGGAACCTCAACTCCAAATCTCAAGCCTCAGAAACCAACGCTAACACCCCGACACCCTGCGCCCTCAACTCTTGCAGCCCTAGGAACCGTGAAATAGCCCCAATCCTACAAGCCCACCCGGGAACTGAGGGAAAGCCGCCGACCAGGGCCACGTGGAGGCCCTCCTTCGTGCTGGGACTCTGCTCCACCGAAAACTGCGGGAGCTGTCCGACAGGAGAAACGGGGGGAACGGAGGCCGTTAGGGTTTAGGGCAAGAAGAGTCTTAGAGCTTCTTCAACGAAAAAAAAGTTGGAGGGCTTTAGGGTTTAAGAGGGTTATGTGGATTAGGGTTCAGGGCAAGGTTGTGGGTCGAAGGCTTTAGGGTCATTTGATGTATATACGGGTTTAGGTTTTTCATTCTGTACGGGTGTAAAAAAACAGAATGGGACGTTTTTCATTCAGGGTTTTGAGGGCTGAGAGCTTGGGGTTGAGACCAGGGAGCCTAGGGGTTCGGGGCTTCGGCTTCGGACTGAGCATGTCGGGTGGGAGCTGGGGTTAAGGAGCCCGGGTTCAGGGGGTGATTTCGATTTCGGAGCCAGGGCTTCGGAACCGCAACGGAGAAATGGATAGAAAGAACTCGCAACCCCCAAGTTTGTTGACAGAACCTTGGCAGGAACGACCCAGCACTGGAGCAAGCAGCGTCGGAAGCTTGGCAGTGCATTGCTTAAGTGCTCAGGCGGCAGTCTATAAGCCTACACCCTCGAGCCGCAAGCCTAAACTCAAGCTGTAAGCCCTAAACTTCAAGTTCCCCTGGGAAACTGGAGAAGCAAGGAGGTGTACCGCTACTACGTGCAAGCTTCAGCTGGCGGCTGCGTGAAAGCTCAGCTTCTCTTGGCCGAGTTCTGCATGGATGGCAAGTTCATGGAGGCACAGGGCTTGGGGTTTCGGACTTGGGGTTTAGGATGTTGGGGGTCAAAGGTTTTAGGTTTGGATTTAGGGTTTAGGGTTGCAGGGTTGAGGGTGCAGGGCTTAGTGTTCATGTCCTGCTTGCTTTCAGCATGAAGGAGAACGATAAATAGATCGTTCGGTACGTAGATGGAGAGATGATAGGTAGATAAACGGAGGGAGACACAGAGAGAGAGAGAGAGAGTCGGATTAGATAGATAGATAGATAGATAGATGAATACGTAGTCAGACTGATGGATCGTAGATGGCTTAGCAGCCATGTAAGTAAATAGAGATAGATACATAGATAGATACATGGATAGAAACAGACAGAGAAACAAAGAGGTAGAGAGCTAGAGAGATAGAGAAAGAAAGAGAGAGAGAGAGAGAGAGAGAGAGCGAGAGAGGAGAGAGAGAGAGAGAGAGAGACAGAGAGTATCAACAAAATGCTATCTCTGTATGTATAAATACAAGTATACATATATACATATATATATATATGCATACATGTATAGATGGTGAGTGGAGGCATACGATACTCTTGACATGGACTCGCAGAACCTCTGCGGAACCCTTTTTAACAAGCCTCAGGCTCCATGTAGAAACCCAGACGAAGCCAACCAGAGCCTCTGGTAAAACCCTCCTGAACCCGTCAGAAACACGTATACCTCTTATAATCCCAGGTGAACCGGAACTGCAGTGCAACTTGGGCTCGACGCGCGTTGGAAAGCGGTGCGGCGCGCACGGCGCTCTTTGCGGAGGCCTTCTCGGAGTTTTTTTGGATACAAGGTTTAGGGTTTTGTAAGGTTTTTGTCGTGGGTGTTACACGAGTTTAGACTGGAGCCGAAGTCAGCAAAAGCCAGACGATTGCTTGTACCCGACATGCAGCTCAGTTGGCACTAGGCTATACTCTCCAAGACCCCACTCTCCCTATGATTAAGGCCTCTGAGATTAGCAGCAGACCGGCAAGAGCAGACCGGTCAGACCTTCTTTGAGCTCGCCGAGTGCTTTCTGCAAGGAAAGCATGGTCCAATGGCGCCTCGTCCAGCTGAGGGACTCTATGGGGATGGAGGGAGTACGGGTTTAGGGTATTAGGGGTTTAGGATTTTGCTTTGCGTCCATGTGAACTCATACCCCACTGCCCCTCCCGACATTTACGAAACACCATAAACCCTCTAATTCTAAACCACAGAGAAGAAACGTGCACAGCCAAGGATCAGGCTTCGGCTTTCTTTTGGCTGCAAGTGGCCGCCGACGCGGGATCTGCCAAGGCCCAGTACATGCTGGGAAGAGAGCTTTTGGAGGACCTTGGGTGCCGGGTTCAGGTTGGGGTTTAGGGGTTTCTAGGAGTGGTGGGCTTGTTGGCTTAGAGCGAGGGGCTTGCGGAGCAGCTACCAGTGGTGCACTCTGGTTCTCATACAGTGCTGCTTGGTGTCTCGGCTACAAGCTGTTCGCGACGGGATTGGACATTGCAGCATGGACCGCACCATTCTTTCCTGTTTACATGCAATCCAATAGGTGCCCTTTGAGATTGCCAGCCCGATACTTTGTGGCCTGTGTGGGTCTTTAGCGGCCTTTTCCTCAGCACGAAACACATGATAACTGTGGTAGCGGGTAGCGGCTGAGAGGTCGAGAGAACAATGGTGTCACTTGCGACAAGCGCAAGTCTCCAGCCCGCACCCTTAAGCCTTCGTTGTCAGCGCTTCGCGTCGTCCTCCTCGGTCACAGGTCAAGGCACAGTTAGAACGCGGGCTGGAAGGGAGGGGAGGGAGGGGGGGGAGCTAAAGAGGAGGGGGAAGAAGTTGTCGGAGGGGAGAGAGGGAACTCCTCTGATCGCTTTGGGCAAGGCCGACGCGAACTGAGCCTGAACAACCCTAAACCCTCACAGCCCTGAAGGCTCTCAACTCCATAATCCTTCAATCAGACTGGCGCTAGGACCTCACGGCGGCTACTGGCAACGAGTTTGCAGCCGAGTGGTTGCAGAGGGCCGCAGATCAGGATCATGAGGATCGCAAGGGGGGGAGCTACCGTTGAGGGTGTAGGACCGGGTCGGACTTTCTAGTGCAGTACCTGACCGAAGATTGCATCCCTGAGTATAGGGAACATTGGGAGGGACACAAGCCCTGCTAACGTTGGTGTTGGGTGGAGTTGGAGAGGTCTTTGGGCTTGATGCCTTGACCCACCAGATTGGCAAAGACCCAAGTAGAGCCCCTCGCAACTCTACGTCAGGGTTTGTAAGCCTGGAGAAGCGGAGGAGGTTGTGGTAGTTTGAGGTTGGGTAGGGAACCAGGGAGTTGAGTTGAGGCTTCTTCCACTAATTCTGTGGCAGGAGGCGCAATTCCTCCTCGGCGTCGCACTGGTGACCAAGCTGGAGTGGGGTTTTAGGCTGTAGAAGGGTTTGGGTTTAAGGTCTCGAGTTTGGGAGTTTGGGGTGTAACAGGCCACCTCCGAGTTGAAGCGCCTGAAGTACCGTCCTGCGTCCTACAATTCGCAGCTGAAGCAAAGGTGCTGCCTCATGTAGATTAGAATCTACAGTGGCAGCTGCAAGGTGTTGCAGCCTTTCCCGTACCAGTGGATTTTTCCCTAGCACTCTAGTGACCCAAGCCCTTTAAACTCATACCTTGCGAAGCAGGAGGCGCAAAACCTTAAACCCCCTTATATATCCCCAAACCCTTCATCTGAAAAGCCCAAACCCTCAGACATCTTCGTCCCAAAGCCTCAGGACGCGTCTTTTGAAAGGGATCTGCTCCGAGGCCATGGGCCAAGGCCTGCCAAAGAACGACGCTGCGGCTGCGGAGTGGTTCCGAGAGGCGGCGGTGCGAGGCACGCCTTAGGGTTTAGGTTTTAGGGTTTAGGGTTTTAGGGTTTAGGGTTTTAGGGTTTAGGGTTTGGGGTTTAGGTTTTAGGGTTTGGGGTTTAGGTTTTAGGGTTTAGGGTTTTAGGGTTTAGGGTTTTAGGGTTTTAGGGTTTAGGTTTTAGGGTTTGGGGTTTAGGTTTTAGGGTTTTGTGGTATTAGGAGGGTTTAGGGTCTAGGGACCTCAGACCAGTGGCACAAAAAGCAGTATTCGGTGGGGAATCACGACATGAAGGAGAAGAATGGCCAGAAGATCAGTCGCACCAAAAACCTACACTAACCCCTAACTGACTCGGCAAGCACACAAAACTGCATGAGAAGATTCGCAAAGGAAATCTGAGCTTTGGTTTCGGGTGTTGCAGCTTCAGAATTTGCGTGGATCAGACCTTGCCTCAAATCGTTGGGGTCTCAGGATTTGGTGTTGCGCGGAATTTCAGAGATTTGCAGGCGCTTCTGAAGTTCAGGAGCTCCGTGCGGCTGTCTCGACGGGATGGGGTGTTGAGATCACGGTCACGATGTATCACGATGTATTTTGTCACTCTAGATTCTCGAGGGGCCCACAATAATTTGCCGCGAGTTTCTGAAGGTGACGGAATCCTAGCCGCTGATGACATTGGTTCTATAGTTTTGCGTAGCCGCAAGCCCGCAACATTCATAAAATAAAGCCAGGAGCTCGCAAATCCCTCAACCCCGAAACCCCAAATCCGAAACCACCCTGATCAAACCCTCAACACCCAAGGCCACGCCTTGGCCCAGTACAACCTTGCGATTGCGTTAGAGGCCCCATGGGTTTTTGAAGACCAGCAGGGACTTCAATGTGCTCCGAAGGTGAGGTTTAGGCTTAGGATCTAGGGTTTGTGGTTTCGGGTTTAGAGTTTAGGGATCTGGGGTCAGTGCATTTATGCTCAGTATACACATCTTGGCTGGGTTTTTCACACTCTTCATTCTGAACAGGGTTGGGTATATTATGTTGTGGGTGATTACATGCCTTCGCTTCGCAGCCTCATGGATGCTTGGGAGGTTGGCATTCAGTATATCTCCATGCTTTCAGATGCCTGGGTGCTGCAGTTGTTCCTTTCCAGTGACTTACAGGATGCAGTTGCTCTGCTTGCGCCCTTGCAGCGACACATGTGGTCGCGACACAACAAAGCCCTTTTGTTTGAGTACGTCTCCAGTGAAGATTGCAAAATCCTCGATAAGATAAGTCATCCCTTGTAGTATGCATCACTCGTCAGTGATTCTCTTCGTTCTTGCGTTGCTCACATGTGCATCCCCGAGGTCTCCTAAGGTGACTGAGGAAGGCTCTGCCAGAGAGCTTCGCTGCCGGCATACACTCCAAGTCCGTGCTTTAAAAAAGGGATCTGGGGTAGCCGTGTGGCGCGAGTCCACAGCACAGTCGCCACCTCGGTTCCTGGCATGTGCGCCGTCCAGGTGTAAAAGGGTTTATGAAGGTAGGTGATTGACCTTAAACAAGAGTCGTGATATAAAGGATCCTCAATCCTACCTACCTTCATCCTCTGAGGCTCTCGGGGACTGCGACCTTTAGCTTCAATGATGCAAGCAGTGTGGACAGGATAGATGCATTAATGGTGGAGTGCTCTGGCACACCGTAGACCGAAATGAATCCCAAGGAGCCTTTTTCCAAAACTCGACCACCAACCCATACAGCAACCCCTATACAATTATGAAGCACCCTGCAACCCTTGTAAAATCCAAAGCCCCAAACCCCTGGTGAATCCCCCCCCCCCCAAACCCTATATAGACCTATATAAATGGCAGTTTCCGAAAATCAGGGGTACCTTATTCTAGGGTTCTTATAATAAGGATCCTACTATTTAGGGTACCATATTAGGGTCCCCCATTTTCGGAAACTCCCAAATCGGTTTCCTTGGATCCAGCAATGCCGGAGCTCGTCGACTCCGACCCCAAAAGCCCCAAAGCCTCAGACCCGAAACCTTGCGAAATCACCTAGGTTGGATTTTGGGACATTTTTCAATTTTCCTTTTTTGGGTTTATACGGGACCCTACTAAGGGACCCTATATGTAAATGTTTTTCAGGGTCTTTAAAGGCCAACCCAGTCACCCCAAGGCGAGTCAACCTGAGCCCTAGACCCTAAACGTCAGCCCAGGCGCACTGCAGCCCTAAAGCCCGAAACTCTGTACCTCAAACCCTCAACTCTGCCAAGAAGTGTACTAACAAGATCCTACTCTACACCCTGACCCTAAGCCTAAAATCCCACTAGTGCCAATTATGAAGTCCCCTGTGTTAGTAACCGCAGCAAGAATAACAATAATAGTATACAGGTACGCAAACTTCAATTACCCTCGGTGTTACATAGAGGTTTTTATAAAAGACTTCTATGCGGGGTTTTATAGAAACCTAAATTCAATTACCCCCTGTGTTACTTGCTCATTCCTCTCACCGAAGGAGGGCCGTGGCCTTGCGGCAAACGCCTCGGCAGCCGAGGCTGGGCATGAGCTACTACGGTTGATGATATAAATCCTGCATTACCTTAGTGACTCTAAACTATGGGAATTATGGTATATTCGTTGTTATGGGTCATGCAGGATTTCTATCATCAACCGTACCACGATCGAAGCTTAATTCTGAGGCTTGGGGTTCTTTAAAGGTTGGCCTAGAGCATCCTATATACTACATAGGGGTTTCGAGTTTCCTGATTCCGGTGAGGGTGCAGAGAACGGGGTTCACAAGGGCTTGGGGTAATCTTGAGCCCTCTAAATCCTACAATCCCACACCGTAACCTTCCCCAGCCCTACGATCCTAAAACCCTCAAGCTTGCTTCGGGGTGCGTTCACTCTAGCATTCATACGAGTGCTTGCATGTGGAGTCTACGGTGATTGCCACCGCAAGCTATGTTTTGAGGCTTCTGCTGAGCCGGCCTACCGACATCTTGTGCTCCGAACTCCGGTCCCGGACACATTGAGCATCCCGTGCACTGCAGATTCCTGCTGTTGCCTCTGCGGGCATGGTCAAAGTCACTGCCAAAGAAAGATCCTCAACTGCTACCCGTGACGTGGAAACAAGAGTACCCGACGCCCCCAATCCGCATGCACACGGTGCGAAGGCGTGGTTTCAAGCTGCAGCCACGCAGGGAGTGGCTGAGCCCGGCTGGAACTGGATACGAAGGTGGGCCATGTCCGCAAGGCTTTCGTAGGCATGCGGGCAGTGCCCCTGATTCATATTTCCACTGGTTGCGGGGGACAAGTATAGCCAGCAGCTCTGCTGGGCAGGAGCGGGGAGGCATGAGGGCATGTGCGCTGCAGTGCCGGGTGTTTCGAGGTTGGTCCGAGCTCTTCTCCAGCCGCGAGGCCTCGCAACGAAGTCTGCCAAGAGGCTTTGAGGGTATATACGGCTTACGGAGGATGATCGCCGAACACTCTGACAGCCAGGAGTATGGTTTCAGGAAGGGGGCTTCGAAGTTCATTCTGGAAGAAGCATTTTAGGGTTTTGGTTTTCGGTTTCTTGGGTTTGGGGCTGTTTAGGGTTTAGGTTGAGAGGTCCTACCGAACCCTTAGCTGAATATAGGGGAAAATAAAACTTAGAATAGCTGTGCAAAATGCCAGCAAAGCCCAAATCTAAGCATTAAAGCCCCCATAATTAGAGGCCTCCTTGACGTTGCAACTCCTGAAGAACATAGCAAGATGGGATCGGCAGGGTGTCGAGGCTCGAGACGTCGGAGCGTTGCTAAGGGATCGTCGCTAGAATCTGAGCTGTTTCGCAGTGGTTTCTGGCTTTGCACTTCGAGCCGAGCCGGGGGGTTGGAGTGCCACAAGAAGCACAAAGCCAGAGACCCCCAACCCCGAAATGCGAAATTTGACCCGATGTTGCGGTAGCCGCATAGAAAGAAACTCCTTCCTCTGGGTTTCTTTGCGAAAGCGCCTTCACAGACTTGTGAGGGCCGCTACACGCCAACTTCCGAAAGCTTAGTTTGGCGCATTTCTTTGGAACCTTTATATACGCCCAGAACCTGGTCTTTTAGTTCTGAGGGAAATCCATATTTGCAACGGCCACTTCCGATGGGTAGCCAGCTCCTTTGCTTGCTGTGGTTCCATGTCTGACCAGCCACCAAGCCTTGAATTAGCATGTCTTCATGGCAAGCGAAATCCTCATGGTCCAAGGGCGAAAGCCGAGTGTCTGGAAGCTTGAACTGTCTGAAACCATCTGGAAGAGCTCAACCGTCGAGGCTTGATTAAATCGATCCTTGGGCATCGGTGAGCAGAAGATCAGAGACGCGGCGCCTCATTCAACGACCCCCGGTCATGTCAATGCTCAGTAGACCGGTTAGCATAGGTCGCAGGATTTAGGTGTTGGGTGTTTGGCTATTTCAGCCATATGCTTGACGCCTGAGGTGAACCGCAAACAATAAACCCTGATTACCAACCACTAGTGCCGCACCAGTCGAAGTACTTCGAAGCCGAGACCTCGTCTGGCAAGTCCGAGTTGCGAGAGCGTAAACCCCTAAACCTCGAAGCCCTAAACCCAGAACTAAGGCTTGTCCGAGTGTGAGTGCTGAAACCCAGAACTAAGGATCTTGCCAGGCTTTGTCCGAGTGTGAGTGTCAAAAAACCCAGAACTAAGGATCTTCAGGCTGAGCTCTTCTCGGTCTCCACGGAGCCCTGGGTAGCAGGGCCCAGACGGCATCATCCCAGGAGCTCGAAGTCTGGGAGGGTCCTCAAGGAAGACCTGCTGAGAACTCTCGAATTGAAAGAGAACAAGAAGTTGGGAAAGGAGCTCTTCTTACCGCCACCAGAGACGACCGCAAGTTGAGAGAGGAGCCAGGGAAATGGCTGATGGACCTTCTACTGCGTCCCATCGCAGCAAAAGGCGGCAGTCGAAAAGAGAGTGACCGTTTTGCACCAGAGGCATGGTTCAGGGGTTTTGAGTTTTCTGCTTCAGGGTTGAGTTTCAAGGTTTCGGTTGTGCCACAACCCCTGAAATGCAAACCGTATATGGTCCCTCCTCTCGAGATCCCTACTGAAAAGTTACCAGGACACCCAGCTTAAGACCTCCTGGCACCAATAAACTTAGTAGCTGAGTAGGTAACCTTTACCCGTTTGGGTTTATATGATCCGGACCATAATTTGAAAATTGCAACTTTGTGTGGGCTATCGCACTCAGCCCTTAAGTAAAGAGCTTAAGACCGACAGCCCCGACTCCTCAACCCGGAAACCCTACACTCGTAATGGAGCCGCCGACCCCTGAGCTCTAAACCCCCCAGGCTCTGCTAGAGAACCTTTCTAGATTAAAGCACCTGTATAAAGGTACGCGATACCTTGCCTCTTGAGTATTGACAATCAGTCGAAGATGGCTTCCATGTCAACACTGATGGATTACAGTGTTTACCTAGTAGAGTGCAGAAAGGAAATATTTCATGCAGAAACTCAGACACACAGCGAAGGTCCAACAGTCATGGAACATAGGAGCAGTTGGCAGCCGGGCCCTGGAAACACTCCGGACGATGGTGTGTTCAAGGAAGCTGAAATGGGTCGAACGGCTTGGCTGAGATCTGTGACTCCACATGGGGGCAACCAAGGGTAACACCAGAGGAATGTGAACAACGAATAGACGAGTTAGAAACCGATACTAACAGGATTGACAAAGATGTTACTATCTTAAAGGTCTTAAAGACTAACCTAAATATATAATGAGTATATAGCCTTAATCCTAGGATGGTAATTAACTTTACACCTGCATAGACCACGTATCATCTAGCTATAAAACTCCATCGAACCGAACTCATTGCTACGGAAGCCTTAACAAAAGCCCCCCCCCCCCGAGACCCGTTAATTCCAAACCCTAAAACCTACATAGACCCTACAGTGGGTACTGCCCCCACCCAGTAACAGTTGGATAATATTCATAGCATGGATATATCAGGACCTTTATCGTAGCCCTTTTATAGACTCTTACCGTATGGGGGCCGTACCTAACCTAAACCTTAAAAGAATCGCATAAATAGGGTTATAATTGTGGTAACTCCATTTAGGGTACTTATAACTCTACTTACAAAACCCTACATCTCAAACTTCAGAGCTGCAGCGGTTCTCTTCAAGCCGGGGCCGGCGTGGATAGGGGGAGCATAGAGGAGAGCCGTCGCTCCATGCCCAAATGCAGGCTGGGACACCAGGGCTTATGTGGATTTGGGGGTATGAGTTTCGGAGTTTAGGGTTTTGGGAGTTTGGGGTCGGAGTTTGGGGGTTTGGAGTTTGCCTTTTTGGAGTTTGGGGGTTTGCAGGGTTTTGGGTTAAGGCCTGTAGGGTCTCTAGGACGAGAGCCCCGGTAAAGAGCCAAGAAATCAAGGCTCGACTCGATTGCTGCGCCTTAAGAGGCCCCGGAAGCCCGCTAAACCCTGAACCCTGCAAGCCCCAACCCTTAAGATCCTAAACCCCAAGGCCCTAAGCCCCTAAACCCAAACCCTCATACGCAGTATTGGTATTATTTCTTTGTTCGGTGCTCTTGCAGCTTATTCTGCTCTTCTCTTTTGCTTCTTCAGCTGTTGTCAGACAGCACTGACTAGCGATGTAACGGTAGTACCAGTATCAATCTGACCCCAAGACGCCGTGCCTGCGAGAGCGAGTGTGCGAGTCGAAACCCAAACCCTTTCAAAGCAAGAGAAGCAGGGGAACCTGGCTGCCTGCCATTCAAACGACCGTGGAACTCGGCAATTCGGGTGAGAAGTAAGGCAATCGTACACTATTTTTAGTGAGTTATACTTTTATATATAGGTTATAAGTCAGTGTCAGGTAATTATGCTGATAATCTATAGCTGCTTATAACTGAATTACTTTTAGGGTCATCGGTAATGTATTCTTGCGTAGAACAAGAATTTTTAGCTCACTGAAGCTACATACCATGCCAGCAGGAGGTCATTGAGCAGTTCTGCCAGCACTGCCTTTGAAGAAGGCATCGCAGTCATAACAGGGCCCCTGGGATTTCGGGAGTTTCGGGCCCTTGGTTGTGTTTTTGGTCGCGGGATCTTCTCCGTTCATGCGGTCAGTTTGGGCCTCAATGTTTGGTTTGAGGGGGTTGTGAAGGTTTCGGGTGTTGTGGGGTTTCGAGCTGGGGGGATTGCGACTGAGGGTCCTTGTTTTGGCTGCGGGGTTGAGCATTCGAGTTGCTGCAGCAACAGGGTGCAGTGTTTGAGGTGCAGGGCTTCGTGCTTGAAGGCTGAGGTGCTTGTGGCGCTTCATTGGAGTTCGAGAATTTCCGAGGTGCCCGTATGCAATTCGGCATTTCCGGCCGCAGCCATTTGGCCCTCCTCTCTGTCATAGGCGGTCATCTCGGCTTTTGCTCAGCTGCACATCCTACCCAAGCCGAACTCGAACACCTGCTCCAAGCCACAAGAAGCAGGGAACTGTCTGCGCATAGGCTTCAATGAACTTGTCCTCAGCGCTGCAGCAGACTCTAGAAGAGCAGAACACAACGCCATTTCTGACGCCATGCTGGCCTCCATCATGGGTGAGGACCTCTGTTTCTTGGGCTTGAGCTCAGTATTTGCAGCCCTGAGCCTGCAAGCCAAGAAGTCCGGCAACCTCCAACTCCTCTCACGTAACACCCCAATCAGCTGCTTAAGCCCTACACTCGCAAGATAAGAAACATTCCATTTGTCCCGGCCGCATAAAGCTCTTTCAGAGCCTGCAAGATGCACCAAGCTAGAAGCTTCATTCGGGTCTTACTTCATGTAAAATGAAGCCTAGTAGAAAGTAATGGATATAAGCGTAGTAGCAATAGCTTCACATCAAGGCCAACTTGAAAGCACATACGCTGCTTGGGCCTTGGCAGGAACTTTGCAGCAGCCCCGAAGTTGTTTTGGGACGCAAAAAGCGGGCATTGAACGTAGGTGTTGTACGGGCCAGCATAATATGCCCCAAGGTAAAGCCTAAACCACAAAGATTTAAACGCAAACCCTGGATGCGTCCGAGTTGCGAGAGCGTAAACCCCCAAAACCCTCAACCATCAATCATGTACCCCCTCCTCAACCAAAAAAACCCTACACCCCAAATCCCACTGAGCCCTGGCTCTCCGCAGGAATATCTCGAGTGGACTGTGCCACAGCTCAAGGAGCACCTCCGTGCACTCGGCGTCCAGGATGCATGTGGGAGTTTCCGAAAACTAGGGGTGCCTTATTTTGGGGTCCTCATCATCAGGATCCTACATTTGGGGTACTATATTAGGGTCCCCTATTTTCGGAAACTCCCATGTGACCTACTTGGGGGATCACGGGACTTAGTGAGGTTCCGTAAGGGGCTCCTTACCGGCTTCCTCAAAGGGTTCTGTAAGGTGGTATGCTTGGGTCTGCCTGGAGGATCATGGGACTTAGTAAGTCAAGATAGAAGTAGCTTGATTGGGGTTATAATTCCATACAGATAAACCCTAGTTTTTAAACCTTAAAAGAAGGTTAAAAAAAACCTAGTTTCTGAATCCGATGAGCCGGTAAGTGTCCCGACTCCAGGCTCCGTTCCGACGTGACATCTCTGAAACCTGAACCCGGTGTCGCCGCAGATGAGAGTAACCAGAAGCTGCACTCAAACTCTGTTTCCCCGTCATGTCATGGTGCCAGCGATTCAACCGAGCATATCTTGGGTACGCTTGTGTTTTTGTTTAGGACGGGCAGGCGCAGGGTGCTTGGCAATTTGGCCGCAGTCTTTTGAAAACGAAATGCTCCAAGACTCACATCTGATACTGAGAAGTTTATGCCGAGACCCTAAACCCCAAATCCAGTTTAGGAAGAGGGGCGAAGGCCCAGAGTGTTTCTTGAAGTTTGTACTGCGCATTCTTGGAAACGACCCTACTTCACCCACGTCCTCCTCAAATTTTTCCGTTGCCTTACAGGGTTGAGGGGTTTTATAGCGAGAGTAAGAGCTCAAGCCGTGAAGAGAGTTGAGCCTGCAGACTCGCAGCTTGCCGAGGCGTGGCCTCGACAGGCAGTGGTTTCCCCGAGAGCTCAGGTTTAGTTCGTGGGCGTTCATGGCTTCTGGTCTCTGTCTCTTCCCTCATGATTTCTGCGATAGGGAATTCGTTATTTCGGAGACATGGTCCCAAAGTGCACTAGAGCTTGGCTTCTGTGGTAACATTCCTCAGCGAATGCGATTGCAAGATAGGGGCAAGATTGGATCGCAGATTGCGTCAATAAACGGCCGACCTGTTTCATGATCGTGATTGAAGCACTTGCTTCACATCAAGTAGGCGCCAGGACAGTTGCCACCAGTCTTCCC